ACTAATTCAGAACCACACAGCTTCATGGAAACTGAACTACTGGCTCTTGAATGTTAACTGGATAAACAATGAAATGAAGGCAGAAATAAAGATGTTCTTTGAAACCAACGAGAACGAAGACACAACATACCAGAATCTCTGGGACACATTTAAAGCAGTCTCTAGAGGAAAATATATAGCAATAAGTGCCCACATGAGAAGCAAAGAGAGATCGAAAATTGACACCCTATTATCAAAATTGAAAGAGCTAGAGGAGCAAGATAAAAAAAAACTCAAAACCTAGCAGAAGACAAGAAATAACTAAGATCAGAGTAGAACTGAAGGAGATAGAGACACAAAAAAAGATTCAAAAAATCAGTAAATCCAGGAGCTCGTTTTTTGAAAAGAATAACAAAATAGACAGACCACTAGCCAGATTAATAAAAAGAAAACAGGGAATAGCCAAATTGATGCAGTAAAAGACGATAAAGGGGATATCGCCACAGATTCCACAGAAATTCAAACCACCATCAGAGAATATTACAAACAACCCTATGCAAATAAACTACTAAGCCTGGAAGAAATGGATAAATTCCTGGACACTTGCCTCCTCCCAGGCCTAAACCAGGAAGAAGTCGAAACCCTGAATAGACCAATAACAAGGTCTGAAGTGGAGGCAGCAATTAAGAGCCTACCACCCAAAAAAAGCCCAGGTCCAGATGGGTTCACAGCCGAATTCTACCAGCCATTCAAAGAAGGGCTGGTACCATTCATTCTGAAACTATTCCAAATAACCCAAAAAGAGGGAATCCTTCCCAAATCATTTTATGAGACCAACATCATCCTGATACCAAAACCCGGCAGAGATTCAACAAGAAAAGAAAACTTCAGGCCAATATCTGTGATGAACATAGATGCAAAAATCTTCAATAAAATACTGGCAAGCTGATTGCAACAGCACATCAAAAAGCTTATACACCATGATGAAGTAGGCTTCATCCCAGGGATGCAAGGCTGGTTCAACATACGCAAGTCTATAAACGTAATTCACCACATAGACAGAACCAAAGACAAAAAACACATGATTATCTCAATTGATGCAGAGAAGGCCTTTGACAAAATTCAACAGCGCTTTATGCTAAAAACCCTCAATAAACTATGTATTGACGGAACGTATCTCTAAATAATAAAACCTATTTACCATAAACCAACAGCCAATATCATACTCAATGGGCAAAAACTGGAAGCATTCCCTTTGAAATCTGGCTCTAGACAAGGATGCCCTCTCTCACCACTCCTAAATTAGTTCAACCATTGTGGAAGACAGTGTGGCGATTCCTCAAGGACCTAGAAATAGAAATTCCATTTGACCCAGCAATCCCATTTCTGGGTATATATCCAAAGGATTATAAATTGTTCTACTATAAGGACACATGCACACAAATGTTCATTGCAGCACTGCTTACAATGGCAAAGACCTGGAACCAACCCAAATGCCCATCGATGATAGGCTGGATAGGGAAAATGTGGCACATATACACCATGGAATATTATGCAGCCATAAAAAGCGATGAATTTGTGTCCTTTGTAGGGACATGGATGAACCTGGAAACCATCATTCTCAGCAAACTGACACAAGAGCAGAAAATCAAACACTGCATGTTCTCACTCATAGGCAGGTGTTGAACAATGAGAACACATGGACACAGGGAGGGGAGCACTACACACTGGGGTCTGCTGGGGGGACATAGGGGAGGGACTGTTGGGGGTGGGGAGTTGAGGAGAGAGAGCATGGGGAGAAATGCCAGATATAGGTGTTGGGGAGGAAGGCAGCAAATCACACTGCCATATGTGTACCTATGCAACTATCTTGCATGTTCTTCAAATGTACCCCAAAACGTAAAATGCAATAAAAAAAATAAATAAAAAATAAATTTAAAAGAAAAAGAATGAAAGGTAGAAAACATGAAAAAGAAAAGAGACCATGAAGGATACGTTTAACATGTATTATACGAGTATTTGGAGGGTCTTATCCAGTTGGGGAAAAAAAAAGAATGAAGAATAATTAAAGCATTTTAGTAGGAAAACAAGGTCTCTCAGTGGTCTAGAAAGGCTTGATATTTGTTTTATAAATAATAATAAAGTCATTTAAGAGGGAGAGGTATTAATGGGAAGTAAAAGCACAGTAGAGTCTCATATTTAAAAGGAAGAGAATAGTGTAATAAAATTAGATCAAAGTAACAAATATTGGGAGAAAAGAGAAAGTATAATTAAAAGTAGAAATAATATTCAGTACACTAAGAGTAAATTGAATTAAATAATTCATTGAAGATAGAGATGGGTTTAAATAAAAGGCACAGTTTATATAGGAATGGCTGGATAAATTCTAGAGTAATTTTCTTTATATTTACCAATTTTCATAACTGGTTGCTTTTCTAATATCCACCAAAAAAGATCATTTAAGTTTTTTAGTATCCTATTACATAAAAATTTTAGTATATTTGATTTGTTTTAATTGCAGATATTATTTTCTTTTCTGTTCAAGTTGCCCATCTTTGGCCAGTAGAAACTCCTTCAGATTGTCTTTTCTAAGTTCATTTGACCTGACCTACCCCCTGTCATAGACTTTGGTAGCTGTCTTGTGTTGTGGTCAAGCTAGATGTTCCAAACTCATATTATTCATTTCCTGTTACAAACATATTGGCAGCCATTCTTTTCTAGGAGTCCAGATTCCTTTTTGTTGGAGATAGTATATAGTAACTACAGTCTAAAGGTGCTCATAATTATGAAGCTGCTCATTGTTTCTTGGCCTTCAGTGAAGAGCATTATATATATTTTCTGCACCAGCCTTCAAGTCAGCCATTTCTCCAAGGAACCCTGGCTTCCTTTAGTGGTGAATGATATTTAGAAATGATGATTTGGGCACTGTGTTTGCTCATTGTTACTGGGGTGACATAGCTCCTGGTTCTTAGTGAACTGAGCTGGGAAATAGATGTATATGAACACAGCTGTTTCTAGATCTTGATATGTATGTTAAAAATCATTGACCACTTCTTAATACCTCATTGTCTAATACAATACTGGCTTTCTTGTTTTTAGAATTTATTCTGGCTTTCTTTTTCATATTTGCAACTTGCTTTTCTGACAGAACTCAGTGAGAGGTCCCATTATAAAAATATGTGTCTAATAATAATGTTAATTCTCTGTTTCAAATTTTTATAATTTTGTTTGTTTGCTCTTACCAACACAGTTTCATTTATCATTGTCATATGTATATTAGGCACCAGTGTCTTTTGTAATTTTCCTAACTTAATTTCTCATTCCTTCCTGCCTCTAATTCTTTATTTTCTTGCAGAACTGTGAAAATTAATTTATATAATAAGTTCTCATTTGTGTAAATTAGATGTGCATATACACACATATAACAAGTGTATGCACAGCAAGTATTCTAGGATATCTAAGTAAAATACAGCTAACTGACTAGCTTTGGATAAAGGGACCTAATAACAGATGCAGAGAGTGTTAGAGACTATTACTCATACATAAGTTTCTGTATGAGCTTTTAGTCATTTGCCTATATTGTGTTTTTTTAAAATATATAAATTTTTCTTCAAAATTTGTGCATGAGGTATCCATGTTTCCAAAATGAAAAATAGTAAATAATGATTTTTTTTTTTTTTTTTTGAGACAGGATCTCACTCTATTACCTAGGCTGGGGTGCAGTGGTGTGATTTTGGCTCACTGCAACCTCCACTTCGTGGGCTCAGGTAGTCCTCCTGCATCAGCCTCCCAAGTAGCTGGAAGTACAGGCATGAGGCACTATGCCTGGCTAATTTTCTGCATTTTTTAAGAGACAGGGTTTTGCAGTATTGCCCAGCCTGGTCTTGAACTCCTAAGCTCAAAGTGATCTGTCCACCTCAGCCCCCCAAAGTGTTGGGATTACAGGTGTGAGCCACCATACCATCGGCCTCCAAGGATATTTTTTAAATTATGAATAAATTTGCATGAAATCTTATAAGAAATTTAAATTGAATAATGTATATTTGACTTCTAAAAAGACTTTGTTGAAAAAAATTAATTACCTTATAATATTTAGTGGTTCTAAGGTAAGCACTTACATGAATTATTTGTTTAATTCTTATGGTAATCCTATGAGGTGCCTATATTATTTCTGTCTCTATTTCATAAATAAGGTAACAGACTCAAAGAGCTTGAGGTAACTGAAGGGCTACAACTAATAGATGATAGAGTCAGTATTCATACTTATCTAATTTTAGGGTCTCCATTTCTAACCTTACCACATTATTTTTAAAAAATTATAGCAGAATACATTCTTCTGTGAAATGTAATTCAGCTCTGAATTGTTGATTTTTTGATCCAATAATGCCTTATGAAAAGACATGAAGTTATATTTTTACTCCCCAACAGAAGATATCATTTTTTGTCATTATAAGATATATTTATGAGAAGAAACCTGAGTATTACATGTGCAGAGGATTTGGGGATAAAAGCACTATTAAAGTACCCACAGTTTTTTAAAAATTTACTTTTTTTCCAATCTAGACCCTGTCAGAAGTACCATACTACATTGCTTCATTAAGTACCATGAGCATAAAATAACAACCTAATAATTGTTGGCTAAGAATCTGACATAAAAGGCCCGTGTAGATTATATCTTAGTATTAAACTTGACATAATAACAATAATGGTAGTTAATATTTCCTAGTCATTTATTTTGTTTTGAATACTGCATTGGATTACCTTGTTTATTCCTTTCAACAGTTCTGTGAATGTGGTACTCTTATTTTTGTTTTGTAGCTCATTAAGCTCAGGCTTAAGGAGGTTATATAACTGCCTACAGCTTCACAGTAGTGATGAAAGTAGATTCTGAGCCCATACTCCAAGTTGTTTTTACCACTCATACTTTTAAAATAGACAAAGTGGTATTTGAAACAAAAAGTGAAATCATAAAACATTTTTTAGTGAATTTTCTTTGAGCATATATTCTTTTTTCCCTTTAGGTTCACAATATTCTTGCAGAAATGGTGATGGGGGGAATGGTATTGGAGACAAACATGAATGAGATTGTTACACAAATTGATGCACAAAATAAGCTGGAAAAATCTGAGGTAAGAATGGAAAATGCTATAATTAAGGAAGGCTCTCAGCATGATGACAACTTACGCATGATTTGTAGCTTTCACTGTTTGTCCTTCAGTATCACCCTTTAGGTTCAACCGTTACACTTATTCAGGTTTAAAAAAAAATGGAATATGCACACATTAGTATGCTAAATATTCTGTGACTATTATCTACCAAACAGCTTTCTGTATTCTTTTTTTAGCCACAATCATATAGCTGCCTTGGGTAATAAGCACAATTCCAAATCTTATTGCTTAAAAGAATTATCTGAATAATGGAATCTAACATTTGCTTTGTAAAACTTTAGTAATTATCAAGGAAATCTTAGAGCTGATATTTTAAAGATATATAAATTTTGTGTTACAAAACTACTTCTGAAAAAAGGACAGGAAATGGGATTCTTAAAAGGAAGTAATGTTTCAAGTTATAAATAAATGCCTAGCATGTCTGAGTTCACATTCAAAAAAGAAATTCAGTACCTTAATATTTTAATTCTAGATCTTTCCCTAAGATCACTGACAAGTTAGTTAAGTCACATGTTTTAGACATTGATACATATATATTCATGGTTTTTATTGCATTCTGTAAGATCGGTTTGTTATACTTGGCTTTCTGCTGTTAGATTCAACCTTAGATTGGATAAATAAGGAACAACCAGCACTTTAGCATTGTATAAAACCCTACTTCAGAATTTTAGTGACTCTTTGCTTAAGCACTAGGCTGAATATCAGTAGCAGGTGCTGTAGCTGAGCCACCCAGGTTCACATTATTTTGGTTGTTTATTACCCTAACAGAGGTTTAGAAAGATCAGTAGTTTTATCACTTAAGGTCAGGAGTTTGAGACTAGCCTGGCCAACATGGTGAAACCCTGTCTTAAAATAAAAAGAAAAAAACCAATTATCCAGGCCTATGGGGCGCACCTGTAATCTCAGCTACTCAGGAGGCTGAGGCAAGAGAATTGCTTGAACCCTGGAGGCACAGGTTGCAGTGAGCCAAGATCATGCACTCCAGCCTGGGCAACAGGGTAAAACTTCATTTCAAAAAAAAAAAAAAAGAAAGATCAATAGTTTTGATACCTCATTCACCACTCAGCTTGTTTGAGGATACTCTTACATTTGGTTTCTACAGCCATAACTCAGATTGGAAAAAACACATTTTATTTATAATTATTAGTGTTAAGCTCAGATATTTAGTTGATTTAAAGTAAATATTACTATGAAAGCATCAAGGTATTAAAAATACACTGGCATTAATATACAACAGGTGAGTTCTGAAAAATTTATCTTGTTGGCATTTTAAAGGATTAGCTAACTCAATTCTATGCCCATTTGAATTGAAGGAAACGCAGGATGAAGAATAAATCTGAAATCTAGAAACAGTTGAAGCTTTCTTATAAAAACATTTGCCAGTGTTCTCTTTTAAATTTAAAATAGTTTTGCATTTTTCTTTATCTCAATTTGCCATTCATGTTGGTTTCCCAAAGGAGAAGTTTGTAATGGTTATGTAAGCTAAGACTCTCTTAAGTAACTGTATATATTTTGTTTGTCCTATAGCCAGTATTTAAAATATTGGCTTTTGAAAGTGGAAAATATAAATTAGGTTAATAGAGAAAATTTTGTTTTAGGACAAGGAAAAAGACTCATAATTTTATTTAATATAACTGACTTGCAATGTATTATTTAGTATAGAAAAGATTACAATAAACCCTGAGCTATTGCTTTTAAAGTTTTAAAGTGTGTGTCATTTGTTAAACATTGCTTTACAAAACTGTATGGTTATAGATTTTAAATGCCAAGGGACAAACAGTGATGCAATCCTTTAATAACTGGTATAATGAATAGAGTATCTAGTGATTTGTGAACTCTGTATAATCATCTATAAAAAATATTGACCACTTGTCTGGAATTTTCACCTTTCCAGGTACTTAACTCCTTTTCATTGCTGGTGGTCCTTCTTTTTATTTTGCTACTTAACATATTTATGCCTGGTGTTCCATTATTGGAACACTAAGCTTGTAGGTGTTATTTATATCCTACCACTCAAGTTCATCGCCAAGGTCTGATTTTTCACCAAAAATTTGCAACCTCTGGCATAAATGGATTAATGTGCTATATTGACAAAAAGGATTGCATAATGGATATTTGCTTTCTGATTGTCAAAACTTTGTTAATGAGACAATTTTTCTTCTCTATAAAGAGCAGTAAAATGTAGAATTTACATTTCAATGGAAATAGTTATAAGAATACTGTAACTTAAAATCCATTCACAGAAATAATGCTATTTAAAATGGTTTAGAATGCTGGTGATTACTTTCTATTATTCATTCCCTGATCATCTTGCATCATACATAATTAGTTGTTATCTGGTACCAAATCAGTTTTTCTTTTTTTGTCTTTTACAAGAAAGTATGTTTTAAATCTGATTGGGGATAAACCACAGAATTACACGTTTTTTCTACGTGTAACATCTGCTAATATTTTTGTTATGGAATCATATTTCAAGTCAAAGTGAGGCCATTTAGTCCTGATGATCTTTTTAAAACAGTACTGAAAATTATGTTGACTAATTTTTCAGTAACTTTCATATATTTAAAGATGTTTGAAAGGCTTCTAGCTTTATTCCAGACACATTGAAATGTCAAAAGCTTTCACATGTTTCATCTCCATGTTACTTTAATTGGTTAAATTTACCAGAGAGTCTGCAGAATAATCCAAAATTACTTAAAAGCAAAGTATAAACTTTTACTAATCTTCTTACTAAATTTCAGCTAAAATGTACTATATAAGCACAAACTTAAAGAAAAACTTGTTTGGCTGGGCGCAGTGGTTCATGCCTGTTATCCCAGCACTTTGGGAGGCCGAAGCAGGCAGATCACCCAAGGTCAGAATTCAAGACCAACCTGGCAAACATGGTGAAACCCTGTCTCTACTAAAAATACAAAAAAATTAGCCAGGCGTGGTGGCACTTGCCTGTAATCTTAGTTACCCTGGAGGCTGAGGCAGGAGAATTGCCTGAGGTGGAGGCTGCGGTGATCTGAGATTGTGCCACCACACTCTAGCCTGGGTGACAGAGCGAGACTCCGTCTCAAAAAAAACACACAAAAAAAGACTTGTTTAAAATCAAGAATGTCATGATTGATGAAATAACTGATTATCAATATTTTTAAAAATCATATAAGAAATATTTTAGGAACATCATTTATCTTTGAAATCAGTCTGGGTATAGTTAAGACATAGCTTTTTAAATATAACATGCATTTGTCTAGGAGCCTTTGTCAGAAATCAAAGCTTTTATTATGTTGATCTAAAGTTAGCACATTTCTGGTAATAGAAAAAAGTGAACCAGTTTAATTCCCAATAACTAGACAGGTAGAAGCAAAGCTCTCTCAGATCCTTAAAGAGAGAAGCAAAGATATACTCTGAATATATTTTCATCTATTTTGTTTTGATAGAAAAATGGTTTACTATAACATTGGAATATTGGGAGAGGAGGGTTTAAGCTGGGAGGTTGATGGGATTGGGGGGGAAGTGTAAGAGGTACTCAGGAACCTGCCTAAGAATAAAAGGACTCCCTGGGGGTGGAGGTAGAGGGGTGGGGTTGGGGAGATTTGTTAGCTTTTATGTACTTCATGTTATTCTTAAGATGGATAAATGGGTCTGAATTTAGTCACTACTTTTTGAAAGTCAGTCCTCTTTTTTTTCCCCGAACATCCTGATCTTTCTAGCTCTTTCCATTCTTCTCTCTTACAGACCTTTATCTTTCAGTCTCCCAGACAGGACAGGTAGACAAGGTATTGCTGACTTTGAGAAAAATGTACTATAACAAAGGGAAAGCAAAATGATGTCAAAGGCAATTAATTATTTAGGCCAGACTCAAAAATTCTTTGTGTTAATAAACCCATATAGTCCCTGTAGCCTATTTTCCATTCTAGTTTCTCCTTGTAGTTTCTTCATCTTTTATTGGACTTAGTGTATTTTACTAGTATTATCATTGATGTCATGTTTGTTCTGTTTTGTCTGCCTGCATTGTAAAAGGAAAGTTTACATTTATTTTAAACATTGTCATCTAACTGACAAATTGCATTTATAGAAATGACAATTTACTTTGTATATAAAAACGTAAAATTTATTTTGAGCATCATATAGCAGAACCAATCTTAATTTAACTCTCCAGATTTGTTTTTCTCCATCTCTAAATTAGGATTCTAACATAAAATTGCCTGCTGGGTTTTGGAAGCTGTGAATTTAAAAACCAAAAGCTGAACCTTTAGAGTTTTGCATACAAAATGGGAAGCAGCAAAGGCTTAGAATAGTGACTGTTAAATAGTACTTTTTCCCCTCAAATGGTTTTCAGTTCCAAAGTCTTAACAATTACTTTTACAGTTTTGACCTGCAGGTGCATATTAACAGTAGCCAACAGAAAATAAGTTTAGAAATCTTGTAAAACTTGACTTAAATGCTTGAAAAACTGAATTAAATATATTGACCAAAATACAGTGGGTTTTCATTATAGCAAAGCTTCTGATGTCCAAACATGTTATAATTAAAATCAATAAACATGTTAATGTTTTAGTTAGTATTGAACAAAAACCCTGAATATTTTTGCAAAACGTACTGGCAAATATTGGAAATGTTTTTAATAGACCTCTAGTTTTACAAAACTAATTTTTCTTCTGATATTTGCTGTACATTTTTTCACACCATAAATTAACTGTGTAAATTGCTTTTCTAAAAGTTCCATGTGGGTAGTGATAAGCAACTCTTTTGTATAAAACCGTGTCAAGAAAAGAAATGTTTATCTCTGATCGAAAATTTCAAAATTAGAGTAATTTACTGAGAGAAAAAAATGTATAAACTTACTAATTAGAAAAACATCACTAAAAATTGATTATTGTCATAATATCACAAAGCATTGCCTTTTAGCCACTAAATTTTAACTCTATTCTCTGAATGTGTTTGAGAAGTAGCAACATATTAGTGGCTTTATAGTATCTTCTTTTGAGATTGTGGGCAATATCACAAAACTGGGGTACCATTTTTGGTCTCTCTACTTATGTCATTTTGTCCCTTATATAGAGAATACATAGTAGTCTCATTCTCAGCATTGGTCAAAATTATTGCCAGTTTCTATGTTACTGGCAATATAACTTATGTTAAACTGCTATTTTCCAGCAAAGAACCACTAATCACTTATGTCTGTTAACTTTTATTACTAGAACTGGTAATTGGCCTTTAAAAAAAAATCAGATTTCTATTTCCAAAGAGTAGAGAATAATAAAAGTGGCTCTAAGATACAGATGTTGGAAGGTCAGCTCATGAGTTGGTTCTGCCTCTCTACATTGATATACACATTTGTTTTGTACTTCTACAAAATTATGGTGAGAATCCTTGAGGTCACTTGTAACGGTCAAAACTAGTAATAATAAATCCATGAAAGTCATTGGTCTGCTCTTTTTATTCACGCAGGCAAATCCCGTATTTGAAATTAAAGCTATAATTGAAAATAATCTGTACAAAATGACTAATAATTTTGAAGGTTTTTGAATGTTTGAACATTCTAATTTTGTTAAAACCGTAAAATGCCATAGCTCTTCCTCATCAGAGAATTGTTATGAGCATATCTAAATCTGTTTATAATTGCAGTATTAAAGCACTGCCATTAAAGCAAAGAACAAGCTTATTATATAGCCCCAGATTAAAAGTTATTCTGCCTCATACTGAGAAATTTTTAAAACTGTTGACATTTTCTTTTTTGCTCAAAAACATGCTTTCAAAATCTGCCATTATTTTGTTAATGATTTTGAGTCTGAAACCATTTAATATTGTGTTTATTAATGTTGGTGTTCTTTCACTTTGCTGTTAGGTCAAAATTATGAATGTGCATATAGCAACTTCCAGCAGGAAGGGTGGGTAAAGGTTTTAATATGTAAAAATTGTTCCAACTACCATCTTATTATGCTGTATTTTAAACTTGAAAAAAATATATTTTAAGATGGTAGGATGGTATTTTATGTCTTAGATGAAATAAGTAACAAGATTACTACTTTCCTTTTCCCTCAAGAAAGTTGATCGTTTATTGCATGAGGAAAAGGGAGCTATCAGGGTCTTTGAAATATATTCTAGTAATGCTGCTTTTTCAGTTTTGCTTGCACATATTTTGTTTATTTTTGGGTCTGGCAATTTAAAAACAAAATCAAAAACAAATCATATCCATCCATTACTATCTTTGTGATTCTTCAAGTGCTTGAAATTTCCAGGAGTATGTCTGTATAAGTCTTCTATCTGTTTGGCCTCATTTTGGTATACCTGCAGACTTCATTTTGTTTTCTTTCTCTTAATTCTGTTAATTTATTTAATCTCATGGGAGAGAAAACATGATCATTCTTTTATATACTGTACTTCATTCTTTCATCCAATTCATACTCTTAACAGCTTTGGATTCATATATTTGTTTTTATTGGTGTAGTCGCTGCAGTTTACCTGCCATGGTGGTGCTCAAGTATAACATAGATGGAAACAAGTTATTTCTCCAGTAGAATTTCATTCTTTTTTATTTCTGCTATGTGTCAACTACATAATCTTAAATCTTTAAGAACTATGTTGTTCTGTCAGAAATATCTTATTTTTACATTTAAAAATATACTTACAGTAATCCCTCTATCTGTGGGGGATACATTCTAAAACCCCCAGTGGATGCCTGAAACTGTAGATGTAGATACTACTGAACCTTATATATGCTGTTTTTTCCTATACACATATACATACAATAAAATTTAATTTATAAAATAGGTACAGTAAGAGTTTAACAACTAATAATAAAAGAGAACAGTTATAACAGTATAATGTAAACAGGTTGTGTGAGGCCAGGTATGCTGGCTCACACCTCTAATCCCAATACCTTAAGGGGCCAAGACAGGAGAATCACTTGAGGCCAGGAGTTTGAGCCAGTCTGGGCAACACAGTGAGACCCCATCTCTACAAAAAGATATGATATTTTTTACATTGGCTGGGCCTAGTGGGACACACTTGTAGTTCCAGCTATTCAGGAGACAGGTGAGAAGATCACTTGAGCCTAGGAGTTCAAGAGTGCAGTGAGCCATGGTCACATCACTCACTCCAGCCTCAGGGACAGAGTGAGACCCTGTCTCTTAAAAAAAAAAAAAACAGTTATGTGGATGTGGCCTCTCTCTATCACAATACTGTACTGTACCCACCTATTTTCAGACCACATTTCACATTTGACCATGGGTAAATGAAATCATGGAAAGTAAAACTACAGATAAGGGGGACTACTGTACTGCTAACAAGTCAGGTAGACTTAATTTCTATAAGTTTTAGCATTGAAAAGTTAAGTGTTAGTAAAAGTTATTTTGTTGCTTTGAGTGTATCTTACTGGAAAAAAGAAATCTTAACCAAGATGAAACTTGCTTCATACCTCTGTGTCAGCAAAATAATTTTCTAATGAAAATTTACTTTACATTTTATGTTTTAATAAAAAATGTTTCAGACATTGCTTTCATGCAAGTCTGAAAATGAAATTTGTTTTATAGCCATTCTGGTGTTGACTGAGTGACATAAAGTCTTTTTTTAGCCCTAAATTTTCATATATAAACATTGCTAGCTAGTTTAAGCATCTACTTATTGATCAATAGTCCTTATCATATTTTCTACACATTTTATATTTTGCATAATATAATTTCTTTTTTAAATGTTAGTTTAATTAAAACTTAAAGTACATATTACAGTTTTAAATTTTCCTACCATTTAAATTATGGCATACTACACAAAAGTATTGAACATGCTTGAGAAATAATTTGATTCTCCTAATTCATTTGCGTGTTCTGAATAGTTCCCATCCTTTGCATGTCTATGGCTTGCTGCTTATGTTTAGAAGAATTGTAGTTTGTTGAGCTTAGAAACTTCTTTTAATTTTACATACTAAGCACAAATATGCTATTTAAATCAATTGCTATATTGATTTTATGTATTCTCGTTAGCAGCCAACAGTCGACACCAAAGATACAACTCAGTCTAATGAAAGTTAATAGGAAAAGTTTTTTAATCTTTTTTTTTTTTTTTTTTTTTTTTGCTTTAGTTTAGCTGTTCATGGTACAGGATATTATGGAAAAGAGAGCTTTATTAACATTTAATACTAAAAAATTATGTTTACTAAATACAAGTGTAAACCATAGTGTCCAATAAATACTCAGATACACGCATACACACACACACACACACACACACACACACACACACACACACAGTTTCTCTTACAATAATAAAATCATTTAATAATTCATGCCTTTTAAAATATTTATACTCAAATATTTGGTCAATACTTTTCTATAGTCAATTCATCATTTGTCTTTTTTATAGAAATTTTGAAGTAAAGATAGTGGCAAATTGGTCTTTTAACTAGAAAAATTACAAAATCCCCCAATCTAAAAAATGATACTACCTCCAGAACGTCTGCAATTTTGTAAATTTTTCTTCCTTAGCAGATAACATACTTCCAGGTAAAAGAAAGCCAAAAGATGGTAAATCTCTTTGTATTGGATTCTTCTTTGATCCTAACACGTCTTAAATTTTGGTAGCTAGACTTTTAACTTGAAATGATCAAATGAAAGACCCTTTTGAATATGATACATGCTACCTTAATTATTATTTAGTTGTATCTCCAACATCTTTTGGAGTAGCAGCAGGGATGGGGGCATAAAAACTTCATTGCTTCAGGTAGGTATAAGTATAGAGGTCAATCACGTTTTTAGTTGTACATCAAGAATGACTAACATCCATTAAATTATAAAAATTAAATTCTCCAGCCCTATTTAGTATTAATTGGGTAGGGAGTTATTCATTTGTATTACCCTTATCGTTGCCTGTGTAGAATATACTATTAATATTATTCTACTAATTTTTCTATTATTTCCAATTCTGAATTGATAATCCATGGCTTTTATTTCATTGCTTAACAATGTTTGTATCCTTTATTTAGCAAATAGTTTACACTGGCCTATTTTGTATCAGTCAAGATTTTTCTCAGGTAACAGCTTTATTATTATTTTTATTTTAATTAACAAAGGTAGGATTACATAAGAAAGCTAAAATTATGAAAAGGGACCTTAAAGCTAGTGTTTCTAATTTTATGGACATTGCCATATATAATCTAATCAAAGTGAAAGATTTGTTTTTGTTGCTTGTCCGTTTTTATACAAAATGATGCCCCTAAACTCAATGTCTTTGTTGGCTTTGTTTTATTATATAGCCTAAATAAAAATTAATGAAAAAATTAATTGGTATGTAAATTAAACCGTAAATATGAAGGCTGTTGATGTAGGTGAGAAAAATGATATATATGCATTTTTCTTTTATTTTTAAGCATATTTTCTTTTAAAATTATTTCACAAATTATAAATGTTCCTACTAACAAGAAAGCCAAATATTATGTACTAGTGGTACTTACTGGAAATTTTAGAATTCATTTATTTATATTTACTACCTCTTGCATTTATGCTTTTCTTTCTCTAAATTTGTGCACTGTAAGCTGAGTATATGTTGCTGAATCTATGCTATACGACAAAACATTTTTAATCATTATATTTTTGTTAATGCATCAAAGGGTTGGAATGATCCTCTTTGTGTAGTTTCATCTTTAGGCATAACTGTCTTTGGATTGAGGCTTTACTTAAAAGCCTATTTTTTGAATGTTCTAGAACTTCCTTAGAAAAGTTTAAAAGAGCCCTCACAATTTTAAAAACTAATTTTATTGTTTTAAATTGTTTTAAGGGTTTATCCCTAAGTAAAGAAATTAAACAAGCATGATCTATTACTTGCAATTTTTATTTCACAGCACATATTGATAATAAATGCCATTTTAAAAGCAAAAGAACTATCATGATCATTGCAAGAGATCTTTATTAAGGAAACTAATGTAAATCATGCTTCATGCTATATGTCAGTTAAATCAAGACATAGGTGAAGACTTAGGGTTTATCATGTGAATATTGTGTGGTAGTGCACATTAATTTGTATTTAAATCTTTACATTGTTACCATTGCATGTGTTCACTGTATTTTCTAATGTGTCACTGTTTTCTCTTTATAAATTAGTATTTCAAAGTAACCATTCCATACCAATTCAAACTACCATCTGGTCTCTAAGCTTGTTATATGAAAATCTTTTATCATTGTCTTCCATTGTAAGTGTTTTATGATGAGCTACACCTGAGTTGTACATTTTCTTTTTCTTTTATTTGCTTCTGTATACAGGCTGGCTTAGCGGGAGCTCCAGCCCGTGCTGTATCAGCTGTAAAGAATATGAATCTTCCTGAGATACCAAGAAATATTAACATTGGTGACATCAGTATAAAAGTGCCAAACCTGCCCTCTTTTAAATAAAAATTTTTAAAGGCTACTCCCAGGTAAAATCCAGGGGGAAAAGTCATCTAAGTTTACCATGCAGTTGTTTACCAAAAATAGAGGAGGAGAGTCTTAACTTTTGCTCTTGGATTTAAGTCAAGGTACTGTACAGAAGTTGTGTAAAATCATTATGAAAGTTCAATGTTGCTTTTCTTGCTCAGTGATTTTAAAGAAATTGAGTAGTTCCTATGTGATTTTTTTTTCTTTTCTAAACTGCTTTCCTGTGTCCACCTACGGCATGCCTCTATGTATTGGCTACTACAGTGTTTTAAAAAGTGTTTCAGATATTTCTTTAATTATGTACAACCTAAAATGTTGGTGTTTTGTATGGATCACAAGTGCAGCATTCCTTAATTCCTTCTGCCATTTGTCACACAATTGTTATTTAAAGAACCAAGTATGTATTGCATGAAAACATTATGACTTTTTTCTCTTAGTTTAAATAAACTCCAAGGTAACTGGACTTCTAAAGCACCTTTCTGTTTGCCTGATATCTACTTTAGCAATAATTTTTTTTTACAACCCTCTGACTCAACAAAGTAAATAAAAGTATATTTTATCACTGTTAAGCAGCTGTTAATGTTGATTTATTTTATGCTCATGTTTTTAATATTCAGAAACTCAGTAAATTATTCTAAAACTCAGTTATTTGACAAATGAAGAGCAGTCTATCTCATAGCATATTGTGCAAGATGAGATCTGGAGTAGGAGGTGACAATCTTTCTAAAATGTATATTGAGGCCAGGCGTGGTGGCTCACACCTGTAATCCCAGCACTTTGGGAGGACAAGGTGGGCAGATCACCTAAGGTCGGGAGTTTGAGACCAGCCTGACCAACATGGAGAAACCTCGTCTCTACTAAAAACACAAAATTAGCCAGGCGTGGTAGTGCATGCCTATATTCCCAGCTACTCAAGAGGCTGAGGCAGGAGAATTGTTTGAACCCAGGAGGCGGAGGTCGCGATCAGCTGAGATCATGCCATTGTGCTCCAGCCTGGGCAACAAGAGTGAAACTCCATCTCAAAAAAAAAAAAAAAAAGTATATTGAGAAAATGTAAAATCTTTTTTATACAAATAGCGTTAAGCCTTGCCTCCTGTTCTTTCTTGCCCAGATGGTGAAAAATAATTTCAGCAAATACCTAATTGATTTTGAATAGAAAAATGCTTGGGGCTCTACTTGTCTGTTTTATAAAGCAGAGTTAAACTAATGTTTTCTCAAGTCCTAACACTCACATGTTCTGGTTTCTCATAATTAGTCCATATTTTATTTGGCCTTCCAGTGAGTGAGGTTACTTTTTCAGGTAGACTAAGGTTTTCCTTACAGTTCTAGTTCTCCTTCCTCAAATGTTCTCTTTGAATCACTTCCATAGATTTGCAGCATGTATGAATTTTACCTCAAGAACCCTGAGATGTAAGAAAAGTTATTTTATTTTTTCTAAATAAAATTAATCTGTCTCTAAGCTCCCCATTGTGTTAAGGTAACAGGAAATTTAATCTGTGATTATTGGGATTTCCATCAGCTCAAGGATATGCAAAAGTCCTAGAGAAAGGTTATGCAAAGTAGAACATTTTAGGAGGTCCCTGGTCTTTAGTCATTTGACAAATGTTTATTAAGTGCCTACTGTGCCCCCTAATTAGCCCCTGTCTTCATGGAATGATATACAGTAAGACAGAGTGCCTAGCAGCATCCCCACCGCGCCCCCCACCAGCCCACCCTTTTTCTTTTTGCTTTGTTTTTGGGGAAACACATTATGGGAAGGTTAAGTGGTTAGTATATGCAAAAATGAGGGAAACCTCTGGGCCAGACCTATTTTAACCTCAAGAAACAGTCAAAAGTGTTTTATCTCTCATTATATTCTGTCACATACCATGCCCAAACAACCTACCATCTTTCCTCCCCTCCATTCTCTCATCTCCCACCCCCACTTTCTTTCCTGCAGCAAATACTTACTGAGCATTAGCTATGTGCCAGGCATTGTTCTAGGTACTAGGATAGAGCAGGGAACAAACTAGATTCTGTTGAAACATAAATTCATGTGGGGCGAAACAATAAATGTATGATATGTCAGAAGGTGATAGTGCTATGGAGAAAAGTAAAGCTGAGTAAAAGAGACAGGGAGTAGTAAGGTTGGGGGAGAGGAGTTGGGCTGTTGCTGTGATACATAGAATGGGTAGGAGGCATCTCTGATGAAATAACCTTTGAACAAAAACCTGAAGGAGGTAAAGAAGGCGTCACGGGAATTTGTGGAGCAAAAGTAAATCCACATAGCATGTAGCAGATGGCAGGGCCCAGAGGCAGGGGCATCCTTGGGATGTTTGAGAAACAGCAAGAAGCCAGTAGCAAAATGGGCAAGAGGGACAGTGAGTTCTTTAATGTCTCTATTGTCTATCTCTCAGAATGTTTATTCATGGATAATACACAATAAGGGATATTAGCTTTTAAACTTTTGGATATTTTGTAAAGCAATAAAGCAGAAACTTCTGGTTAAACTTACGTTATTAAACACTTATTCATATTTGTCCTCTTTCAAAGCACAGTGAACTGACAGGAAAGAATTTGTGTTAAATGGACAAATAGAATCAAACAGGTGATAATAGCTACAAAATGTTTGAAGCTGGAAAGCTTGTGAATGAGCAGTATATGACTGAGCAAACCTGAGAAAGCTGAGATTTAAGTCAGCAGTGGAATAATGATGAAAGCATGTGGATTTGCATCTCAGAACCTGGAAAGACTTTAGGAAGTAGAGGTACTAATGGAACTGTGAAGAGAATTATCAATTATCAAATTGTTTTATATATCAAAGCAGATGGACTCTCAAATCCCCTTCACCATATCACAAACCTTAACAATTGTCTCTCATTCACCCCTGAACTAAGAGCCTCAACTAGCCAGATCCCCTTCACCATATCATAAACCTTAGCAATTGTCTCTCATTCACACACTGAACTAAGAGAAATTACCCTAAGTACCTTCTTGGTGGGACCTCAGTCTACTTTCTCTGTCAGCTCCTAGACTGTTAGTAGCCAGGCTTATACTCTACCCTGTCAAAAGCAGGAGACTGTAGCATATTCTTGCCTAGGGATATTAGCCAAGAGAGAAGACCTACAGTTAATGATATTTTAAGCTTGCCCATTGTTGTGGACCATCCATATCTTCCTCCACTAAAGCCCCTCATTGAATAGCTTCCTCCCATGCATGCAGAGCTTCCAGTCAGATGTTTAGGGCCTTACACATGAGCAGAAAGCCAAAAGTCACCAAACATTTGAAGAGAGCTTCTAGTATGAAAGGTAGAGGCCAAAACAAACAACATAAACTAATAGGAAAAACATTTTAAAATTAAAAGTTATCATCACTTGTCATCTGCTATATTAGACAGCTCTTATCTTCCAAATGTTCCTGGCCCACCACTTCAGCCACTGTATAGTAACTAATTCTCCGTAGTCTTGACCAGCTTTGCTCAACTGCGACTGGATATTACCTTGTTTTTGGCCCAAGATATAACCTGCTTCCTGCCTTGAACCTTCTCTTCATCCCAGCTGAAATGTAGGAATCCTTTTGGTACTTAGGTATGTACAATTTGGAGATGAGGGAAATTTAATACCATTCTGAGTCCTGTGAGTGCAATAAATACTTCTCTTTTATACCTTGGCAGACAGTGGAGAGTATTTCAAAAGTATTTCTCAGAAAGTTCCATGGGATTGAAAGCCAGTTGCCCAGAGCAGTAACCAACTCCCTAATACATCATTTTTAAAATCTTTCCTCGCCTTTTCTGTTTAGTTCATATCCTGTACACATTCCTGGGAGTGCATTTCCCAAAAATTCTCTGTTCATAAACCTTTGTCAGAGGCTCTACTTTCAGGAAACCCAGGCTAAGTGACACCCAGGGAAATAAAAGATCAAGAATCAGAACAAAAAAAGAACATATGGGGAACCAAATGAAGTTCTTGGATATAATATAAAATATTATAAAATTGAATATTTAATGGGAAGATTGGAAGATAAAGTTGAGAGGATTTCCAAAAAGTAGAACAAAAAGGCAAATGGATGGAAAATAAAAGGTAAAATTAAAGAATCACTTCAGGTAATTCCATATCTGACCATTAGAAATTAGGGGGATGGGTGGGGAAACAAAAAATACAGGGAAGAAAATTTCCTCCTGAAAAAGGTTTTTAAAGATTGCTTAGCATAAAAACGTGAGTTTTCAGATTGAAGGGCCCACTAGGCTGCCTAGCAATGAATGAAACAAAGACCCATACCAAGTGTCTAGCAGTCCATTCTGGCTGCTGTAACAAAATACCATAAACTGGGTAACTTATAAACAACAGAAATTTATTTGTCACAGTTCTGGAGGGTGGAAATTCAAGATCAAGGGACCAGCAGTGCCTGGTGAGGCCCATTTCTCATAGAAGACACCTTATTGCTGTGTCCTCACAAGGGAAAGGGACAAATGAACTCCCTCTGGCCTCTTTTATAAGGGCAATAATCTAATTCATGAGGGCTCCAACATTATGACCTAATGACATCCTAAAGGCTGCATTTCTTAGCACTGTTGTATTGGAGATTAGGATTCAGCACACAGATTTTGAGAGACACACACGTTCAGACCATAGCACCAAGGAACATCACTGTGATTCTAAAATATGCTAAAACCTGTAAAGAGGGAGGGATAAAAGCAAGTCACACAGGGTCAGGAATCAACATTTGAAGCCAAAAGGCAAGAGAAATAACTTCAAAATTCTGAGGAGAAATCAATTTAAACCAATTTAAAAATTCTATGTCAGAAAAATTTTCAGTTATATATTTAGTTATAATAAGTATGTTTTCATACTTACAAAGTCCCAAAAAATGCATTTCTCTTGCCTTTTTCTCAGAAAGGCACTGAAAGATTGGTACCACCAAAGTAAAGGAATAAATTATTTTTAAAAATCAGGAGATCCAGTAACCAATTGATATAGCACAGGAGAAAGATGAATGAAAGTCACAGGACGTTGGGGAATCTTAGAAGCATAGCTTTATGGCAGACCAAAAGGACAATTATCCCTGATTGAAACAGGAAAATGAAGAGTTCAAGGAAAGATGGCTCTTTAAAAAAGAACATGGCTGGGTGCGGTGGCTCACGCTTGTAATTTCAGCACTTTGGGAGTCTGAGGCGGGCAGATCGCTTGAGATCGGGAGTTTGAGATAAGCCTGGGCAATGTGGTGAAACCCCGCCTCTAGCAAAAATATAAAAAATTAGTCAAGTGTGGTGGCGCGCACCTGTAATCCTAACTACAGACAGGCTGAGGGAGGAGAATAGCATGAATCCAGGAGGCGGAGGTTGCAGTAAGCTGAGACCGTGCTACTATAATCCAGCCTGGGTGACTGAGCAAGACTGTCTTAAAAAATAAATTAATTAAAATTAAAGTTTAAAAAATTAAAATTTAGTAAATTTGAGAAATATAATGTAGGTTTACATTATTTATCTTGATTATTTTGTAAGTTTATTGATAGTTGACCTTTGAACAACATGGGCATTAGGGGCACTGACCCCCTACACAATCTAAAATTTGCATATAATTTTGACTCCTCA